TATGAGAACATCAATGGAAACGACACACTACCCAGGAAACCTGGTGGAAAGTATGACTACCCCAAGTTTGACTACCAGGTGACGTCATGTATTGACTTTGCCAAGCTATACGTGGAGAAGCACATGGGCAAGTTTGACGCATTTGACGAGCAGTGTGATGCATCAGCTGTGCTCACACTACTTGGTAAAGTTCCCGTGTTTTCTGTTGCTGTTCAGTCTGCTGCTGGTGACGTTAAACAAGCTAGGAATGCATGGGCACACTGTGAGTTCAGTAAGTGGAACCTTATAGGCCTTCAGCAGAGTTTTATTGAGATGAAACTGATGTCGAAAGCCTTAGGCCTGCCAAAAGCTGACGAGGATGTCCTTTTTGAAGAATTAGAAGACTGGGAGAGAAAAGGAAATGATAAAGAGTACAATCGAAAGTCATCGTTCAACCTTTCTTTTCCTATCAGGCAAATTAAACTGACCTACGCCCCCTTACTAAAGGGCAAAAACACGAATTAAGACAATTTTCACCAGATGTTGACAGTAATCTTAAGCGAGAAATCATGATAAGCTACGCCAAAAATCACCACTTTGGGAAATGGCACTCAATACCTTGACTAACGTGTTGCATGAAAGCGAGGCCTATGTGTACAATTTATACTCTTTTACTTCAAAATTAAGAATATCCGTAAAATTACAAAACTGAAATTGGGAGCTAATTATAAGAATCATTCTTCCAACTCTGATGAGGTTATAGGTGTCCAATAAAATTTCAGAACAGTTAATGCAGTTGAACCATAATTTTGGAAAGCAGGGATGGTGCAGTGTTAATACGAGTGCCGGTCCCACTACCGCGGCCTGGGTTGAAATCCCTAACCTGGCGTCGTTTTTGGGTTGAGTTTGTTGTGAGTTCCATTCCTTTCTACAAGTCTTTTTCTCAAGTTTAACCGATTTTTCCTCCCTCCGTTAAATCCAACACTCCAAATGTAAATGTAAATTTTGAAAACAGTGGAGGGCGAGCCAATTGTTTAGATTGCCTGTGTTATTTTCCAACTTGTTCACACCGTTGTTTTTATGGAAGTTTTTCTAACAGACAACCTAAAGGTTACTATCAAAGGCATTCATTTCATGCTTCATTAGATATAATATAAGAATAGATCTCATTGGTAAAGCCCACAGTTAGGAGGGAAACATCAGCCACTGCAGACCGTGTTGGAGTGAAAATTCTAGAAAATGGAGGGCTTAATAAGGCATGTGTGCATGATGGTAAGTTTAGTTTTGAGTGTGGGTTCTTGTCTTGCAGGAACCATACTGTGTATGAACGCTACTGTTGACCCTGATCTGGTAAAGGCTGTTCAGCAGGAGCTCATTGGTCTGAAGAACGATGTTGATAAGCTAGCATTTGAAAAAGAGGAAGAAAGAGAGCAATTGCAGACTGCGCTTCAGAATGCTGTAGGCCATCAGAAAGAGCTGGAAAAACGCGTTTCGAAGGTCGAAAGGGAACAATGCCGCCGTCGTGAGAAATAATCGTCGTTCAACACGTGTAACACTACCTCGAGCATATTTTTCTTTTTGATGTTTCAGAGATTACCAGTTGGGAAGCAGAAATCAACGAGTATGCTAGACGTTATGATCCAGATACAAGAAGGTGGTTTTTCGAGGATTTCCACATATGGTTCGGGGATCCTGGAGACTCCAGAGCGTATGTTTGGCTTGGAGATACTGGGGTCAGCAAGAGTGTCATGGCTGGTGCCTTGGCACGCCAAACAAGAAAAGCAGGAAACTGAGCAGCGGCCTATTTTTGCCGCCACAACGATGCGACAAGAGGCAATCCCAGTTATCTACTGGGGACTATCACATGCCAACTTTGCAAATGTAATGAGCAGTACAATAGTCTTGTGGAAGGGGAAGTTGGCATCACAAAGTCTTTAGGTAATTCTGCTCTAGGTGTTCACGAATTGTTTACCAAATTATTACAAGAGCTACTGGCTCAATGCACCTCTTCTGACACCAGAAAGTTAATCGTCATTGATGCACTAGATGAGACAGATTACGAGTCTAGGGAAGATGTTCTCGATCTTATAATGCACCGTTTTCCCATGCTTCCACAATGGCTTGTTTTCTTTATCACCAGTCGCCCTGAGGATTGTGTTCAATTCAGATTAAAAAGGTACAATCCCTGTATAAAAATTTGTGCCAGAAATAGCGAACACGTTAAGTTCTATCAACAGCACGAACAAGACATAAAGCTATATTTAGAGAAAACCGTCAATTTCACACGTCTGCCGTACTCGGTGGATGATGTAGCAAAGAAATGCAGCGGATTGTTTTTGTACACCTTCTATGTTAAGAAAGCTCTCAAGGATGAAGGGAATTCAGGTAAGATTAGTCAGCTTGATGAACTAATCCCCAGAGACATGGAGAGTTTTTTTCTGCAGAATTTCAGGAGAATTTATGACAAAGTAGGAGCGGACTTGTACAGGAAATCGTTTGGATGTACCATAGCTGCTCCATCTCCGCTTCCTATTTCGTTTATTTCGTTTATTCTTCAAAGAGAAAATTCCAGTCTCGTCGAACAGGAAGTAATTGATGCTCTCTCAATATTTCTATTGTTTTGCACTCCTGATCAGACGTTCACCTTTTTTCACAATTTGATTCCAGCGTGGTTAACTGACAAGGAAAAAGCCTCTCGAAAACGATTCGTTGATAGGATTAAAGCGGATGAGTATTTCAGAGACCTTATCATTTCTTGTCTCTCTGAATTTCTAGATGAACAATCGGATGGAAGTATTTCTATTGAAACCCATGTACTTGATGACATTTTGCGCTTAGGGGTCCGCTATTTGTTAAGTTTTTCCGACAAGGTTTCACAAGAAACAGCTTACAGTTGCTTGACCAGCTTTAAATTTATTCAAGCGAGAATACAATGCAGACGAAATGGTATTTACTCCCTTATCTAGGATGTTAAGATAGGGGCAGAAAATGAGACTATTTATTTCCAAAGATAATTTCTTCAAGAAATGTGCACTGTTCTAGAAATGAATGCCCACGTTCTTTCCGAATGCCCTAAGCTTCTAAACTCTTGCCTGCAGATGACCTGAAAAGCTTTCAAAGATATCATTTTTCCTTGTGGTGTCTCATCATCTTGGATGGAGTACAATTGTCTCAGAAATCCTGTGCATGAAATTCCCCTTGGCATAAGCTGTTTTGCTTTGTCTCCGGATAAGGTGTGGATGGCTGGAGCAAAAGGGCAGTCCATTTTCTTGTTTGATGCGGGCACGCTAGATAAAATTCAAGGCCCTGTCGAGGTTTAAGAACCAGAAAATGTTATTCAACATGTGGAATTTTCATTAGACAGCAAGTTTCTTTTTTCGGAAAGTTGGATAAGTGGTTTACTCTAGATCTAGGACGTTTGAAGGAGTTTCCCCAGTTTACAGGTAGAGACAGGTTTTTCAAATGGGGTTCTCTTGCTTTACAAGGTCGCTATATTGTAGTGGAAGGTGATAACTTTTGGAAACAATCACATAGTCAGTCATGTGCGAAAAGCCTATTCTGTTTATGGGCAACGCTTGAGCTGAAACAGATCAAGAGTGATGAGCTTGTCTGCATGCGTGAGCTTATACAGCTGTGGATTAACCGTCTTACCCGTTACGTTCATGAGGGGTTAAAAGGATTTTTTGAATGGGAAAGCAGTAGTTTCAACGTTATTGTAGAATTCGCGGAGGAGTGTTCGAAAGTTAGTCACAATGCTGAATTGCGTGGTATTTTCCTGTCTCGTGTTTATCCAACGAAAATGCCCAGTCTCTGTTTACTATGTTCTTCTGTGTTGGAGCAGCGGTTACCAGATACAGCTCTTTCACTTGTGCGTCAGCGCATTATTTATCTCTACCCTGACATTTTTCCCTATCAGGTGTGGAATTTGGAAAGTGGAAGATCTGCACTAGAGGAGGTATTTTCTGGAAGTACTCAGCTGAATCCACTTTTCTTCATTTATCACTTACCTGGTGGCATCGCGTTCAATGAAAGACCCTCTCTTGGTAAAAGTAAAGTAATGCCACTTTGTGGTGTTGCTGTAGCTTATGCCATGCATCATCTTTATCTACTCGGGAACTTATACATGGAGATTTTTTTACTTTAGTCAGGTGAGGGACTTTTCGTACTTCCACAAGTTAGTTCCACTGAACCCTTACTTTCTCACTCGGTCACCAAATGAGATTCCCGGTCTTAACAACGCGAGGGAAGTAAAGATATCTCTGGATCAGAACTGGCTCGCGGTTGGGACCTATCATAACTTCGAGGTAACTGTGTTAAAAAAAATTAGCCAAAGTGAACATTTTGATTATGAAAATTCAGTTCATGCCATCAAAGATGTGGATGCCTTTGCGTTTACAGATGACTGCAAGGTTTTACTTTATCTCACCAAAAACAAGTCATATCATGCACTGTCTCTTCAAACTGGTGCTGCCTTTTCAAGCGTCTCAGGATTAATTCCACTGTACTGCACCCCTGAAGAGAAACGTGGGTATTGTTTTTGTAGTGGATGCGAAGAAATCACTATCTTTGCAAGGGATCTTCCCAGCGATTGATTAACCAGTGCGCTAATGACACTAAAGAATGGGAAAATCTGGCTATGAACAGAACTATTTGGAGGAAAGCAATAAGAGATGGAGTGGAAAAGTTTGAGGAAAGGCGTTCAGAAGGCATAAGGCTGAAGAGGGAAAGGAAGAAAGAAAGACAAGAACAGCCACGCACAGAATTACGACCAGGCCTGTGTTGTCCAGAATGTGATAGACAATTCAAGGCTTGTATTGGCCTTTACAGCCATTACAGAACTCACCATCAGTCAATGATGTGAAATGGACACCTATCTTCTATACAGAAGGGGAGCCAACGACGACGACGACAAGATGATATGTGTTAACCGCCTTATTCCTGCTCGAATTTTTTATTTTTAACCTTCTCAGTTTCCAAGCAAGAAACTTGTCGACACCATCCTAAAAGAAGTGATAAACTCCTTTGGATATGAAGCAAATCAAGAAAAGATTGAACGTGCTCTTCTCTCGGTTACTGATTTGGAGGAGTTCATCGGGAAATATTCACAACATCATCTTAATGAAACTGCACCTAAGATTTACATTCGTTGTGAACATGCAGGTGAATAAATCTTTAAAAAAAGCTGATTTGGGAGTTTTCTTGATTTCTAATACAATGTTCAGGATAAGTAATCGTGCATTTTTCGTGGAAGATTTGCTAGGGTAATACTTGCTTTAAACTATTGATTTTGGGTGCAAGCTTTGTCACCATCAACCCTTCATCGAGTCCTGTTGGCGACAGGTATCAAAGCTCCCTTAAAGGTTGTTCATGCCATCGAATTCCTATCGCGCACCAATTGTCTCAAAGAAGTCTTTCAATTGTGTAGAATTTCGTAACAGAATGTATTAAAAAGTAATAAAAGATAATAAAAAATGAAAAAAAACTTCGAATCCGTTGCGATGATATGTTTTATGATTGAAAAATGATCACCTACACTTTATCCGAAATTCAAATTGAGAACGTTCCTTTGATTGATGATCATTCCAAACAGCTTACATTGACTTCCTCTAAGTAATAGTTTTCAGCCCTTCTAGGCCTAAATATTTTGACAACGGCAACTTCTGACTAATACGAAAGCATCCTTATTTATTTTGGCCTGCACTTAAAATAAGTCTTTTTTCAATTAGATATTTTGGTCAAGAAGATTTTTAACGAAAATGAGAGTGATTTCCAACTTGGGGATGATAAAGGAGAAAACTTCCTCAGCCTTCCCACTGCAGGCTTGGATAACGGTTGGAGAGTTATACATTTGTCATTCTTTCAACACGTTCTGTCCACTTTTACAATATCCCTTTAGCCTTCCTATAACATTGTCCAATTACAAGCGTAAAGCGTACACTGTCCCATTAGTGCTCAAATCGGGCTAGTGATAACCAATCAGGTTCGAGAATTTTGTTATAGTTTTGATTATCAGTCTTATTGGTCAGAAGTGGGTTGGGTTTCATGTACGGAAGAAAATTCAAACTGGATGGGTGACATTTTTATGTGTTTTTTTTTTTTATTTATTTATTTGTGTATTTGTCCGTTGGTGGGAATATATTTTATTCCTTTTCAAATGTGGGGCATAGCATTTAAATTAAGCAATAAGCTTGCAAGGTCTTTAAATTATGATTGCTTCTCATTCTTTCATCATTATCCCGTAATATTAAAACGGTGTCCATTATTACATCTTAGGATCAGTAGCACTTGGCGTCATTTACAAAGATCTCCATAAAATATTCCTACTAAACCAAGCTAACCCTGCCCACGTCGATGAACAAGGGTTTGCTAAAACTTAGTTCTATATATAGTATTTTTAAATTTGTGTAGTTCTCTTTTGGTGTTTAGATAAGCTACATGAGGCAAGTTTAGAGCAATGTCCTCGATCCCAGTTTGAATGTCTGTTTCGCTTTTGTTTTAATTTTTTTTAATAACTTTTTATTAATTTTTATTTTTGTCTTTAACAAATTTTATCCTTTTTTTTCTTCTACTTTAATTGTCTTGTTTTGTTTTTCTTGTTCTCTGTTAGTCTTTCGAGTGACTTTCGACATCTGAACAATATACATAGAAAAGTAAATGAATGCATGATAGAAAAAAAAAAAAGGACTAGAAGGGTAAGAAGAAATTCCGCTTTGTCGACTTTGGATCGTGAAGAACAAATTTCGACAGAGTTGTTAAGACGTTCAATTAAGTAAGTGCATACAAGAGCTTTTTTTTTATCTAAACAGTATACAAAACATTTCTTTCATCTCTCCCTTCCATTATGAATTACCGGGAATCGTGTTTAGGAACATCAACACATTTATCTTATCTGCAATGGTATGGCCAAGGGAGAACTTACCCTAGAAGAATATTACGTTGAAATTTAAAAACCTGAAGGTAAGTTGCAATTAATCAAGAGAGAGTTTCATCCATGTTTGTAACCATTTAAAAGAGTTGAAACAGCGTTGGTATATCTGGATAATATGAATTAAGTTTTCTAATTACACGTAATCCTTTCTAATGCATCTCTCCTGTACCATTCTTGTTTCGATCTGTTTTTCCGTCCTTTATATTTGTGTAACTATTTTTTCCGTTTTTTTTTTTGTTTATGGTTATTTTTTGTTGTTTTTTTTTGTTGTAGTCGTTGTTGTCATTGTTGACTTTATTTTATCCTAAGTTTTTAGCGCTATTTTTCTTTCTTTTATGAACACAAGGCCTTAATTCTTTTGAACCAGACTAGAAATATTGTGAAGCAACTCTTCAGATGTGTCACAAATGGGGGAGGGCTCTGAAAAATCGCGGCAAGAGCACTCTTACCTCCTTAATTATTAGCCAGCAAGACGCTGACTTACGTAACACTAATGATAATTTCATGGTTTCAGCCTGCAACATTGGACAGAAGCTGCATGTTTTGGAATACTTCCGAAGACAGGTAAACAACTTTGAATTAGCTAATGACAT